GGGGATGAATTTGGAATTAATGGTTACTTCAAAATAGGAAAACAAATATATTTAAATACCGATCGATCTAAATTATTACAATATATAGGGCTGAATTTTGATTGCAAGTACATATATTTATATTTTAAAACGGTTATTTGTACACTTTTCTAAAGATCCATTGTTTTTAAAAAATATATATATATATATATATCTATAACAGTTTAGTAACATATTAAAAGTGATGATGTCAATATATAATGTAATATTATATATTGTTATAATTATTTTTTTTTGTAATACAGCTATCAGAAATATTCAACCCCTATTCAATACTGCTGCTTTTAAGTCACTTATTTGTATGGTAGGGTACAAAATAGTTTTAAATTACAGTTAAGCCTTTGGAAACACTGTAACAAACTGAAAGCTGTTACAGATACATATATTTGTGCATGAATGTTTAGAGCCAATTTGATTTTTTTTTTTTTTCATCACCTTTATGTTCTCAGAATCACTCAAATGTGTATTAACAAACTTTCTAAAATAGTTTACTGATACCTTTCTCAGTGAGAAGGATGTTCTCCATCTGTTTAAAGGGGTCATATGATGTTGCTAAAAAGAACATTATTTTGTGTATTTGGTGTAATGAAATGTGTTTATGCGGTTTAAGGTTCAAAAAACATAAATCGCATCATATGACCCCTTTAAGACAAAAAGTTTTTTCAGAGCATTTTAATAGGATGAATACAAACGTTTATTAACTTTAGTAACATTTATATTTAGTTATATTTTTAAACACAAAGTGGTCATATCAAAAATTTGAATATTCCTTTAAAATTAATGTGTTCAATGTTCACCCAAATACATCAAATTAAATAAAAAGTATGATATTGTAATTAATACCTCCACATCCCTATGTATTATTCCAAAGTCATGCAAAAAAACGGAAAATGAAAAAGGTGTGGTAACTTACTGTCACTGATACAAATTTACAACATCTGTTTGTGAAATGATTCAAGACTAAACATATTAGATTACTTAAATACAAAATAAGCATGTGAAGTGTTCGTCCATATACATAATGAATCTAACAACACTCACCCAAAGCAGAGCCCAACTCGGCAGCAAACACTCGAACATCTCTCTCATCAAAGTGTCCAGTAAGTATAGAGATCCCCAGTGCTGCAGTAATCACACACTGAACACAAACACACACGAGCGAGGGATGAGAGAGGAGAAAGACAATGTCACAGCAGACTGATTGGCCTGACCTTGAGGCCAGCTTCTTACAAATCAAACTCTAAGGAGACTTCATTCAAGCACAGTATGATCGGAAGCAGTATTTTTGAGTGTAATCGCAAGCTGGTGACACAAATTCAGTCTGTCACAGGGTCACGGAGGGAGGCTTTGGAAAGGAAGAAGATACAACACAATGATTAAGTCTCATTGCTCGCCCTGGCGAATGAGTGAAGAGAGAAAAATACATTGGGGGGGACGAAACAAATCACATGCAAAAGAACAAAATCAAATAAGAGTAAATCATTGAGCAGATCTTTCAAGAAATGTACAACTTTAGCTCTCTTGACAGATATATGTATTCTTATATAAATCTGGTACACCCAGTAATCTCCACATGATATCCATGCAAGAATACAAGAAAAACAGCACAGCAACATTAAGGTTGGGGCAGAACTGTTTGTCTGAGCAGTGTGGGCAGATGGGGAAGTGTTTTTAAAAAGCTAGTTTCACTAGTAATGCATTTAGTACAGTAAACACACTTCACCTTTCATTTCAATGTTCCTTTAAAGCAGAGGTTTTCAAACTTTTTGACGACCTTACATATCTGAGGTCCCTTTTCAATGACCCCTTTGTGAGGGACAAAAATATATATTTTATATTTTTATATGTTTATAAGTAATTAGGTAAATTAGGCAACTATATATTGCTTGAATGAAATGACAAATATATATATATATATATATATATCCTCTTAAACCTCTTAAAAAGTTAAAATAAAATATAAATAATACAATAAAATATCTTTTATATATAAAAAAATAAAAAAAGATTAATTTCAGGATTTCTGACCAGTCTTTAGAAAGGAGAATAAAAATGAAATAATAATTAAATTCAATAAGTGTGTTTATATATATATATATATTCCATTCAAATGTATACATTTAATTGATATATTAAGTTAACATGTACAAATAAAACCTTACAAAACACATTTTTTAGTGCATATTTTATATTTTATGCTAAAGCATATTTTAGTTTACCATAAAAGCTTGTCAGTACCTTCGGCTGTACAAAAGAAGTAATTATGAAATTACATATAAAGATGTAATTAAGTCCTACTTAAGTTCATCAAAAAAGCATACTTAAGTTCAACTAATAGCATTTAATATACATTTAAACTCTAATACATCTTCATTTAATTTCAATTAACATTGCATCCAGTTCGCACTTAAATATATTCTATTAAAGTATATTACTCAAAATAAATTCGCTCTTTAAAAGCATGTTACTTTTTCATTTCAGACATTTCACCCAAAAATGAAAATGGCCATCATTTACTTTCCCTCACTTTGTTCCAAACTAAAGGTACATTCTTCAAAATCTCTCTTTTTGCCTACCACTGAAGAAAGAAAGGCAGAGTAAATGATTAAAATGTACATGTTTGGGTGATTTATGTGAGGATTATATGACTTGTGGCAATGAACTACCTGTAAATGCTTATGCCCAGTAAACCTGGGAGGAAATTCTGGCAGGAAAATGGAAATAAAGCCTGGCAGTGTCCACTCTAGACGAGGCCCCTCAGGGTTTGAGTCTGAGGGCCGAGATTGCTCAGAGACGGGGTATTCTCTGTGCTGGGCGCTGCGTCTAAATAGACTGTGATGAACAAGCTGAGCCGGGAGAGACAGGAAGCCCTGATGACATGACAGGGATCTCCTCTTTACCACTGACCCTGATTCCTGCAGCAAAGATGACATTGATTGATAAATCACTATACAAAATCACTTATGATAACATATAGGCTAATGCTTTACAGATCACTAGCTAGTCAAATGTAAATATGCAACAGCCCCCAAAAAAAACTACTTAAAGGGAAAGTTCACCTAAAAATGATAATTCTGTCATCATTTACTCACATTCAAGTTGTTCCAAACCTGCAAGAGTTTCTTTCTTCTGTTGAACATAAAAGAAGACATCTTGAAGAATCTTGGTAACCAAACAGTTGATGGACCCCACTGACTTGCATAGTAAGTAGAAGAAGAAGAAGAAATACTATGGAAATCAATGGGGATTGGGGACCATCAGTTGTTTGTTTGGTTATCACGGAATTTTCTTTTTTTGGTCAACTATCCCTTTAATTTACATTTAAAATATATGAGTGCCGTTGCATTAAACAGTAACATATAAAATCAAGTTGCATTTCATGATCACAGTTAATGTACAGGGGCGACCACAGTGATTGTAACATAGAGTAGCTCGCACATCATGTAGGCCTACAGATCGAAAATAACTGTCAACGCTGTCCTGTGATTTATCAGTAGCATATATTCCTTTCTGGTTTTTGAAGTAATTAAAAGCCATGCACAGACAGGTCGGACTATTTAACACGCAACCACACGCTCACAAATGCATTCAAATAACCTGATGGTGCGCCCATTGTCAGCAACATTGTCAGAATTCTTCATTTTGGTTGGGTCATATTTAAAGGGATACTTAACCTAAACATGAAAATGCTGTTATCATACTCAGGGTTTAGAATGTAAAAAAATAACAACCAGGCTCAACCAGCTTAATTAGGCTTTTACATTTAATGCTTTTGAACTGAACTGAGAGCAGTTTATGCTCTGCCTGAAATTGACTTCAACAGTATATGAGCACAGCAGGAGAAGATTCATGCTCAAGGGCTCTTGAGCTTAAATAAACTTGTATTCAAAGCAACTTGCATTGCATTTCCGTAGCCTATACATTTTCAGTCATGTTAAGCATTACCTGAGATTGAATCCATGATTCTGGCATTTCTAGCACCTTGCATTACTGATTGATCTACAGTAATGCTCTTCCACAGACCTCCTCCTGAACTGCAGCTGCCTGTTAATCCTGCAAATGCAACTGCAATAATGCATATTTTGGTTCTAAACTTTGAATGTAATTCTTATTTTAACTAATATTAAATTAAACTTAAAATGGAATTATTAATTTATGCAATTAACATAAATCGCAAGAAATGTTTGCTGCCGGCATATTATGTGAAAAACCTAGTTATTCAAACTCTGTTATTCATTAGTAGAGCAGTAAACACTCTTACCTTATTTTTACTCCCCTCGATTTTTTTAAAATCAAGTCTAATCCCTCTCAAAAGACCGTCAACAAAAAGAGAATCCCACGTTATTTAGATCATCTTCTTTTCTTCTGCACACAAAACAGCGCTGTTTCAGCACATCACTCACTGTCCAAACCTTTGATGCACATGCAGGAGCGCGAGACTCCGCCCTGCGCACTCATTAATATTAATTAACACATAAACAACGTTACGGCGACGTACTTCACGCATCAGAAACGTCATAATTGACTGATTACGTAACTCCCACACTCACGGACTTGACCTTCTTTTGTCTAGTAAGAGGCTTCTGTGGTCCAGTGGAGAATCAATGTGTTTGTAATAATGCACAGGAGGAGAAAATACACAATCTCCGATTTTGTTAGCTACACATGATTATAAAATTTTATACTAGCATATTATGCACATCTTTATAATTAAGTCTAATAAATTCTTACAATTTCTGTGAGACTACATTTTATACTAGTATATCATGCTCCCCTTTATACTTAAGTCTAAGAGATTGTTGCAATTTCTAATTTTTCTGTAACCTTATTTAAAACTACTTTAATTGCTTTAAGAAATATGTGTATCTAAAAAAAAATTTTTTTTTCTGAGATCCTTATGACTGCTTATTAACGATTTACATAAACTTAAAAGTTTGAAAATAACAGTTTGAAGGGCTCTTTGGGGCTGCTTTTATTTTATTGACACATTTTAAGTTACATGCTTGCTGACATTTAATTTCTCCCATAATTTATACAAAGAACAATACTAGGCCCATTGCCTGATACGGTGGGGGGTGGGTGGGGGGCTCATTTTTAAACATTTAAGCTGAAATAAAATCTTTCATTTTTTAAGCTGACAAGCTAAAATCAACAGCATCTCAGACATTATTGAAATGATACAGAAGATAACCACAGATACAAAAATATCAGAAAATACTTTGTGTAAAAAGTGCCATAGTGTTAAAATGACAAAGCATCAATCAGACAGGGTGCAAAAATGGCATAAAACAAGATGCTTCCCATGATGTCCCACTGCTCCACAAGCAGAAGATCCTAGTAGTTAGTACAGTAAAACAGTGGTCAGCTAGCTAATATCATGTCCAATTTAACACTGAGCTCAAATGAGGCCAAATTCTTGATTCTTTTCAGTGACTTTCACTAATTGTGGGATAATATGGGCTTCCAGTATATGTGAATTTCAGATTCTTCTTGCTTTTCCATGTGGCTCCTTCAAGATTCTGGCCTACAAGAATCTCCTGATCCAGCAGGAGAGCCGTCACAATGCTCCAAACACAAAACAGACATGAACCGTTGAATTGTAGGACACTGTCTTGAGCTGTGAGGATGTTATCTTGCTTGATAAAGATGGTTTAATGCTGTATGTAGTTAATTGAAATATGTTGAAATGATGTATGGCACAAAAGAAGCACATTAAAACTTATGTTAGGTGTACAGCACTCATTTTAGACAGTAGAATGACAATCCCTTCTTCCATAGCAGGACCAGCGCCTGCAGTCATGGCTTGCGTGTCCACACCCAGCGCGGACATTTAAAGGCACCACTGGTGAAGAGGAGAGAGACCTCGGACTTGGTTTAGTTATCATCGTCCATCCCTTCTCCTGCAGGCTGGATCTCGGTAAGGTTCAGCAGCGCTTCTTCAAGACCAGCATCTCTGTGAAGGAGCTTCACTTGCGGCGACTGAAGATGCTCTTTTTGCTGGAGCTCTTGTCGGCGGTGCTGAAGCCGATCAGAAGCCTTGCTTTCTCGTCCTCCACCTGCTGCTGGAGGCTGCTGTCTGTTTTCCCATCCATCACTTTACCTCGAGACTCTGAGCCTGAGGCGGGTTTCAACCGCAGCTTCTCCTTTATCATCTATTTATTTGGGACAAAAGTTTAATGGAATTTGAACAGGGGCCTACTACTACATTCTTATATGTAGTTTAAAGTTGAGTTTGGGACTGAGGATTTTGCGAGTGATTACCTGTGCGACCAGTGCCTTACGACTGTCTCTCTTCACAGCCATAGCAAAGTCCAGCCAGGTCCAGGTGTTGTTATGATACTCCAAACCGGGCAGAACCAGGTTCAGATCCTTCCAGTCTACACTGCTCTTCTCCCCCTACAGGTACACCGCAAGAGAAATGCATACAGTCAGACTCAGGAATGTGATAAATTGAATATCAACAACACATATATGCAAAAATAACAATTTGCTGTGGAGGTCAAATGAAGCAATACTGTAAATAATAGAATGATTATATTGTGCTTTTTATTAGGCTGTTAAGCTTTCTAAAGGCAGTGTCATTTCATGATCACTCCTTGTCTTGTAACTCAAATCTCTGAAATGGTGTTTGATTTGCCAATTAATTTCCTTAAAACATGATAAATATCACTGTTCCTTGTTCATTTAGTGAATAATAAAATAGTATAAAAATACATTTTTACTGAACTTTTATTATTAACACTCATTTTATTAAATATGATTTACTGTATATAATACATTTTGAACCTAGTTGGTTCAATGGCTGCTTGGTCAAAATGATGACAGGAAAAAAAATGTCAATTATTTTTTAGGCCAAATACTTAACTACTGAGCAATATTTAGCTAAATGAAACATATATATATATATATATATATATATACACATACATACATACTTACACACACAGTATATATATATATATATATATATAATTTTATTTATTTACACATCAAACTAATCAAAAGTTACAGTAAAGGCATACAAAAATCTTACAAAAACAGTAAATGCTACAAAAAAGTTATATTTCAAATAATAGCTGTTATTAGCCTTCTATTCATCAAAGTATCCTGAAAAAAAAGTTTACACAAAAATATTAAGCAGCACAAGTGTTTTCAACTTTGATAATATAAGAATGTTTCTTGAACAAGCTAATCAAATCAGCATATTAGAATGATTTCTGAAGGATCATGTGACACTGAAGACTATATCACTTTTGCTAGGACCAACCTTGTAACTGACACAAAGGGGAACCTGAGGAATCTTGACGTAGATGAAAGAATTATTCATTGCTGCTCTTTCTTTCATCTTATCAATGTCATCAACGGGATGCTGAATGGGGAAGACATCAACAGGTTAAATAACTTGGTTACATTCAATTTGTGACTTCCAACTGAGATATTATATTCATTACAGACCGCAAATAATGATCTGTGATTAATAAAAAAAATCAAAAAATCAAAAGCCAATATCCATCATAAGCAGACAATTGAACTGTCATCCCATTGAAATAATACCTCAGGTGGTTTGCGAAATGACCTCCTGACTCCAGCTGTTCGATTTAACCCTTGCGTGACCCCCTTCCCGGGTCCAAGCCCTCCTATGGAGTCTTCAGATAGCTGCCTGGGTTTCACAACACCTGCGATTTAAGAAGAAAACAAGCCTTAGACACTCCACAATGCACATGAAAGTCACCCTGAAGCAGGGGTGTGCGATATATATCGTCTGCGATAATATCGTAATTGTCGTTTTAACGATGTACGATTTGACTATCGAGTATTTTGCAAAAACCATTCAAAACGTCCCTACAGAGCGCACGCATACATTACGTGAAGTCTAGACTAGTGCGTGTGCGCATTTAGTGTGTTTTCTTTCACTAAAATCCCATAAAATATCGAGATATAATTTTTTGTCAATATCGCACACCCCTACCCTGAAGCCATTCCAGACACTAAACCTTCCAATGTCAAAGAGCGATGAGCTTTTAATAGCCCAGGATGGGCCATCAGTGTGACATAACATCAGCAGACAGCAATCTAATACCCTCACTGGAGCACAAAGAGAAAAAACGAAACTGAGAAAAAAATAGATGTAAACTGATATTGATCAGCATGGGCTGCACTATGGATGTCAGTACAGCGAGTGCAAAGAGTGGTTAAAACATGAATGTAAAGACCAATTCTGGCTTTCAAGAGGATCAGCCTTTGTTTTTCCACTTCTCGTACTTTGATGAATTATAATTATTACTTGCATATGATGTGATTGTGAACAAAGTTGAGTATCCCTGTTGTGGTGGGAAGGTCATATGCTCATGACGAGAAAAACTTCACAAACCTGTAGTAACCAGTCTGAACTTGTCTTCCTCATCCCCAACTTCCTCTTCTTCCACATTTCGTCCGGGGAAGAAAAATCCCATCATCCTCTTGAAGAACTGGTACATGAGCTGAATGGTGAGTGGTACAACATTTACCTACAAATAAAAACAGATTTTTCAGAAAGAAGAGGACAGCTGTATGTGTGAATAGCATCCTCCAGAGTTATGATGCAAACAGGAATGGATTTCATGATAGTGACCTCAAAGTGCTCTTTGACGGAAATCCCTCCCACCGGGGGGCGGACCTTACTGAAGATGCGGAGGGCAAGCTGGCGTCCTGATTGGCAGGGGCTCTGAGGGCGCAAAACCACCTACAACATAGAATGAGAGCAAAATTACACTCACCTGACTGAAGTACTTGTGTTTGTTTAGATGCAAACCACGAAACAAAGGAAAACATGGAAGACTTGGATGCATATCCTGCTGGTCAAACCCAACTGAAAATGATTGGACAGATGTACAAATATCAAAAAAAAAAAAAAGATGTAAAAGTGGAAGGAAATGCAACTAGCCTGCAATATCAAACTACAAGTGAGAATGCAGGTGAATTTTGTCCAAACAGGAACATAAACTTTCTGAGCAGGCATATGTCTGGATGAGGATGAAGGTGTCGACTAACAAACATAGGATTTTACCCACTCAATACATACCCTTACATGCTGCACAAGAGAAACCAAGAGTTATAGGATTAACAAATAGCAGAGATGTGCAAATTGCTACAATGTTTAAAATTAACTAGCTGTGGGTTGTCTGAATGACTAGTTGAAAGCCCTGTATAATTAGGCTGGTTTAGGGTCATGTTCACAAGACAACGGTCTAACATGTTGCTTAGGAATGTACAGTGAACACTCTCATAGTCCTCACAAAAAGTGGATTAAAATAATGTGAACATTGCTCTCATCAGACAATTTCATGTTCGACAATAACTGTTGTTATTGCTATAATAACTGAATTTGCTACTAAGGCAGTGTTATGATGGCTCATAATAATCCATATCAATACTGATTATATCTAATTATGATGAAAATGTTTCAAACTAAAATAACCATAATCTCTATATCATTTACCTTGGATGTAAATCTTGGAGTCAAAATGCTCAAAAAATAACCAACTAGATGACCCCTAATTAATCAACTAGTTGGTTGTTGGACAACTAGTAAACTAGGCGACCATCAGGGGACAGGATGGTTGACGACAAGCCTACTAATAGTCACACAAGAATAATGTTCACATTTTACTTGAACTATTACAGTCAAAATGCAAACTAATTTTAAACTAATTGTCTAGTTGACCTCTAACGAACTAACTAACTACTAACTAGTTGGCTGCTGGACAAGTAATAAACTAAATGATCAGCAGGGGACAGGACTGTCAAGTATACTGGTAGTCAAACAAGAATACTGTCAACCTTTTACCTTAAATTTCACAGCTAAAATTCTAACTACTCGATTTGTTGATACCTGATTAATCGATTAGTTGGTTGTTGGATACATTAGGAAACTAAGTGACAGGATGGTTCATCAAAGGTCAGGATGGTTAACATGGCTAACTGGTTGTCAAACCAGTATATAATATAGTTAACATAGTTAATATAGGAATATAGTTAACATGTTACCTCAAATATTGCAGCTAAATGCTAACTGCTAATTTAGTTGACCTCTAATAAATTGACTAGTTGGTTGTTAGACAAATTAACCATGAAGGGACAGCACAGTTTACATGTCTACTAGTTGTCAAACTAGAATACTGTTAACATGTTACCTTAAACTTTACAGCTAAAATGCTAATTACTCATTTAGTTGATCCCTAATTGACTGACTAGTTGGTTGTTGGACAAATTAGTAAACTAGGTGACTGTCAAGGAACAGGACGACTGACAAGTCTACTAGTTGTCTAACTAGAATACTGTTAACATGTTACCTTAAAAATAACAGTTAAATGCTAACTATTTGTCTTTTTTAATATTATGTTTATTGTAGTATTTTCAATTTTAATTGTCTAGCTGACCTCTAACTAATTGTTTGTTGGACAATTAATACTGTAGACTGTAAATGGAAAAAAAAAATCTACATGCACTAAACCAGCCCCCTATGCAGTTTTCAGTTCAGACTGCATTTAAACATGTGTAAACAACCACACAGAGACATTTGCAGAAGTTAGAGATCAATAACAGCAGAGTTTGTAATGACACATCTCAACTGTCACATGGTTTTGTTATTTCCCCGACTTGGACATCCAGTGTGAATCATTAAGCAGCAGTACCTTGTACACAGCATTGGGAAGCAGGTTATTCATGGTGAACCAGCCCAATTCCAGGAGATGCTCTGCTGTGTCATCAGACTTATTCAACTGTGGAAGAGAACATCCCATTAAGAGATCTGTAGCCAATGACGCACACTCACATATACAGTAGCTAACGTTTTACCAATGATTAGCAAAAGACATTCAGCAACTTCAACCAAAACCTCTGGATTGTGAGTCTTTGCAGACATACCTTGCTGTACATGAACCTCTGCAGTTCAAGTTCAGCTATACCCAGCTGCCCATCTTCTTCTGTGAGACACCAGCGGGCCTGAGCGAAGTAGATCTCGGTACGACGCGCAACGCTAACGTCTTCTGGGGGTTTCCGCAGCTCCAGTTTGTTTGCCCTTTGCAGCTGGAAGTCCTTAAAACACCTTAGAGGAGGCAAAGAACAATGATATATCCAAACATTTTTAACTAATATTTGCTAATGAATGATCAACTGCTAGAATCGAGCTAGCGACCAACCGGATGAGGATATTGAGCTCCTCACTCTTCATCTGCATGTCTGTCTTCTCTTGGTTGAGCTGATTCTGCAGGCGCAGGTTGATGTCGGACAGCTCGTCTCCTCTGAACTCTTCTGACTGGGACTGTAAGAGTCAGATAAAAGGTCATTATGAATGGACCTCAGAGTATTCTGGAGGACATGACCTCAAATGAAAAGCTATGCATATGGCTGATGGTTCAGGTGAACTAAACTGAACACACTAGACCGGAGATGTACACTAACCCTCATGTTGGAGTAGATCTGTTTCTCCAAGCAACGGATCTGAGCCAAATGCTGGCGTACCGCTTCCTGAAGGTGCAAGATACTGCTACGCTGCTCCTCAGGGTTGCTGGAGATCTCTAGCTGGAAACGCACACGCAGCTTCCTCTCGCTGTGCTCCTAAACAAAGCAAAAGATCTGGCAGATCAGCAAACAACATAAGAACTCATTCAAAAACTGGTGTCCAGACCAATTAGTTAGTTCGGACCTTGCGCCGGGGCTCCACGTGGAGCAGCAGATTATTGACTATGTCCAGGATCATGGAGTACTGCACAGGATTGGTGGAAATCTCCAGGTCATTGTGGATGAGGGTGAAGGTGTCGACTGCACCTGATATGACCGGAACAAAGCAACAATATATCTGTGACAGAACAACTACCAGCATCTTAAATCAGTTCCTGTTTCGCTTGAGGTCACATACCAGCCTGTTTCTTTAAAAGGTCCTCCTTCTCATGGCGGTCACTGATCTCTGGCGGTTTGATGGAGGTCGCCAGTTCAGGGTCAATGTCGTGGCTGTACCCGATGTAGTACATGCGACAGCTACAGCGAGAGATGATGCGCTGGACCTGCTGGGTCTCCTGCACTTGGGACGGCTGGTTCCAATCTAAATCAGTGCAAGAGTAAACAGGTCAGGTAAACTAGACTGTGGCTGCTGATTGGACATGCAAAAGTTGTTGCCACAATGCTACAAGGACGAGAGGTGGGCCAACTGTAGTAAAATGAATGGAAGAAATTGTAACACTCATTGGCCTTGTTCCAAATGGAATCTGAAGCCCTCACGTTCTTCCAAGTCTACACTTTTGTGATGTAATGTTGGGTAAAAGTCTACTGCAGAGCGCGCCTCAGTGTGGACTTGGCAGAAGAATGCATCAATGTCACACTGCGGTCTCAAAGTAGGCACTGTGAGCACCTTTCTGAAGCCTAAAATGACAAATGAGACACCCTATGGCAGGAGTAGGCAACGTCGGTCCTGGAGTGCCGACGTCCTGCAGAGTTTAGCTCCAACCCTAAAAAAAAAACCTCACCTGCCTTAGTAATCCTATAGAAATTGATTAGCTTGTTCAGGTGTGTTTGATTAGGGTTAGAGCTAAACTTTGCAGGGCAGCGGCACTCCAGGACCGACGTTGCTTATCCCTGCCCTATGGTCTTGTGGATTTAATGGACATGGACATGTGGTAGCCTTTGTAAGTCCGCAAAGCTGGATGTGAAAGTCATCTCAACTCAAACTCAAGTTTGGTGCCCCTGCTTTAGGGTCTTCTGAGTGTTTTTTAACAAGCTACTATGCAGTTGCCAGGTATTTTGGGCAGTTGCTAGGGCAATGCAAGGTGGTCCATCCCAAGAGCTAAATGTTGTTATGAACTCGAGAGTTAAAATGGCACACCTGTGGTGGTGCTGACCATGCCTCCAACAGCCTGGCCACTCTCCATCAGCTCCTGCACCGAGTCCAAGTTCCTCTGCCTGTGTTCCTCAATGTTCTTGACCTGTAGGTCCACAAAATTAGATTTGATTGCTTTAATGCAATGTTTCATTGTTATAAATGGTATTTGCATGATAACTGTACTTCTGAACCCACCTCCAGCCACAGCTGCCAGTCCTCCTGTTCAGAGGGGTTTTGCTCCATGGTGGCGAAGTACTGCATACCATCCAGCAGACACGTCCAAGTGGTCTTCTGCTTGAGTGTGTCGTTGTACCAAGCAGGATGGTGCTCACATTGCAGTAGTTGTGCCTTGGCGGCAGATACCAGCACGCAGCCGGCAGTCTCAGTGCCTCGAAGCATCATCTGAACACCATGCACATGGGAAGATGTTTAGATCTGCTAATACAGCATCTTGCACTATGGGTTACTGCTCTCAAAGGGGAATCCGTACCTGACCGTTGACGAGCTCTATGAACCAGTTGCGGTTGTAAACATCATCGGTCTGGCACGCGGCAATTCCACAGAGCTGGTCGCTCACTCCTGCGTCCTCTTCGGAGAAGACCACAAACTTATCGGTCTCCTCAATAAGCTTCTGTAACATGGATGTTCCTAAAAAGGACCACAAAAACATATCAACTAGGGCAAAAAAAAAGCCTAGACACACTGAAGACTCAGCAATTCCAATCTGCAAAACTTTTTTATTAGTCTGGAAAAACAAAACAAAACTGGCAAGTGAGCTACAATATGCTCCAATACAATACAATACAATATGGATTTTTTTGGGCCGACAGTCACAAGAAGAGACTACCTTCATTCTGACTCTTCTCTGGGCGAGCGGTTGTGGTGATTACTGGTGTAGCGGGAGCCGTGTTTGAGGAGTAGCTGGACATGGAGCGTTTCAGCTTTTTCATCTGCAATTGGGTGTCGATCCGCAGACCCTTCAGAGCCTCGGTGGAGAGGTTTCTCTTCAGCACAGCTGCTTTTTTATAGCCGTCGTACAAACCAAAGGCAATATTCCGGTTGGTGGTGGTCCAAGAGGCCCTCAGGTCCACCAAACACAACTTGTGTGTGTAGGAAGCATTGCTCTCGTCTTTTGAGGTTACCTCCTGAGACAATTTAAGCAGCGATATAGTTGGTTTGTCATTAATAAAGGCCTATTCACATTGGGGACAAATTTTTGCCACAAACTGTGTCAGGAAAAACTTATAAATTATATATTTTTATTTCTTGTAGATAAATTACGCAATAAGAGTGTCTCACCTCCTCTATGCGGTTACTCTGTCTCTGGTAGCTGAGTGATGACAGGCTGAGCAGGTGGGTCTTCTTCACCTGGGCATTGATCTGGTGGTCGGCAGTCTCGTCCCATGTGGAGGCCATGAGGTGCACGGTGACCAGAGAGAGCTCGCTCACCATCTGAGTAACGTTCCACTCTGAGATAAGTCGTCTCATCACAGTGCCAGCTGTAAAACATGCATCGATCATTTCAGCAGAACATTTCAACAGTGTGTCAAGTGGAGAGAGTGACTGAGACGGTTTGCTCTCTCACCCTGTGGGATGAGCCTCTGTGCTCCTCTGGTGAAGACATGACCTTTACTGCACTCCACCTGAATGCCTCTCTGCTGAGCAAACGATGCCCAGTAATGGACCTGCACAGGAACATTAAGACAGGTTTAACCTTGCATATATTTCATCACATTTATGTATTAACTCATTAATCTTTCCAATATGACCTTTGAATGATAATAATCCTTTGATTGATAAGAATACACTATTATATGTTGGTGACTGACCAATATATATACACAAGCTTATAAAATGTAAAATATCTTTTATTATTTAATTATAAAATAAATAAATATACATGAAAAAGTAAATTAAGCATAAATATAAATATTTTTTATTATTATTAAAATATAATAATAATAATAATTATTATTATTATTATTAAACAACTGTTTTATTTCAGCTATATGTTTTTGAGCATCATCTAAAAGACAAGTTAGAAATTAACTAATGTGAAAAGGGAGGCAGGCATAAAGTATGGTTTAACAGAGGCAGGTGTGTCACCTGTAGCTGTGGGAAAGATGCCGTATAGGACATCTGTTTGTAGTGCTGGCCAAGCTTCCTGCGGTTGGGTCTGAGGCTGTGGAAGAGCTTGCCTCTGCAGATGGGCCGGGACACGCTGGTCCAGGTGGCCCAGAAGTTCTGCATCCAGCGCAGGGTGCTGCTGTAGAGGAGGATTTTGGGCTGACTGGGCTCTGAGAGAAAACACGAACACAAGCCTTTAAAACCAGAGCTGAAATTACCTTCAAGCCTGGAATACACTACATGACTTTTGCGCCGATTTTCAGTCTGGACAACGCTAGTTGCTGTTCCGATTTTAAAAGTTGTGTAGCATTTATCAGCTTTTACAAAAAAGGCTATAGTTCTAACCTTTGCCACAGTGCTGGTCGAGGTCCATGGTGATGGAGAGGTTGAGGTTTTCAGAGCGGAAGGCCCTATAGGAGTCGTGTGGCTGGCCTGAGGTGACATCCGCAACGTTCTTTGCAGCACAGAGCATTACGGCATGGTGGTCATGTGGATTACCATGGCATAACCATTGGAGGTCAAGGGTCATACATAGGCTCGGGAGGCGCAGGAAGCAGATATCATCATACCTGTATAGAAACGGACCAGACAGATTTAAATAATCAAACTTAAATCAAAATGTTACATTGTAATGCAATGCAACTACTAGTCAGGTACTTGGAGGCTGTTCTAACGTTGACGTCCAGGTCACCCTTGAAGACAAACTGCCCAGGATTCCAGTCAAAGTTCAGCTTGCTCCACTCCCAGTGAAGGTTCTCTGTGGTGTTGTAAGGGTCCTACACAAATAAAATATTATAGTTAGCATTAGATATTTACAAATGTGACGGGTCTTTAGCAAGGAGCCTGGGTGTGTTTGTTAGTACCTCAGTAGCGAGCTGATGCAGGTTGGCCTGATCAATGTCCATTACCCAGCGGCCATGCAGAAGTAGTCTGCTTTTATCCCACCAGGCCAGAAGGGGGGACGGGTCAGCTGTGGGTTTAGTCAGTAAATCAACAGCCTGGCCAATCAGCGTCCAAGCAGGATCCCAGCATGGCCCCCACACAATGGTGTAGAGGGAAATGTTCGCTGTTTGAACAGTTAAACCGGGTGAGTCATATTGTTGCAACATCACATTACAGACTTACAAGACCAAGAGAGTGTTGTGACTCACAATGGACGTCGTAGTAGAACTTCAGTGGTGGCATATTCCTGTAAACCTTCACATCACCCCATGGCTGGCCGAGCTGGACCACCTGTTTGCGCTTTGCTCTCAGCTGCCCGTCCTGCTCGGTGCCCATCAGACGTCCCGACAGCGACCACTCTCTGATCTCAAACAGGTACCGAGGATAGTCCCGGATTCGCACTGAACCACACAGGAAACAAGAATGTTAGCCATCATGGACTCTCATAAGTGACTAAAAATAGCACTTTACACATGTAGCACTCCGCAAACAACTCTTACAATTGATTCTAATATGTTGCTATGCTAATAGCTCAATACTCTAATAAGTATAAAAATACAAGGGCACAAATATTGAGTCAATTCTGAATTAAACTGAAGCAATTTTAACAACAGTAATGTATTGATTTATAATTGGCATTTATTTTGTCAGCCATCTTGGATGTATTTTTTTTAACAAGCTAGTGAAATAAACTACAACTGAAATAAATGAAAACTACTTGGAAATATATCAAAATAAAACAATGACAAAAGCACATAAAATTACTAAAAATTAAACATTATTTTTAAAATTAAAAATTATTCTTAACATTAGTGTAATCTGTTAACTTGAAATGATGTCTAGGTAAAACAGGAGTTTACTGTGTTTGGAACAGATGTGTCAGATTACTTACAGTAGATATTCACTAACTAACAAAGCAAGCATCATCATTCATTGGATGAGGGCCACTGTCCTGTAGAGTTTAGCCCCAACCCCAAATAAACACACCTGAACCACCTAATCAAGGTCTTCCGGATTATTAGAAACTTCAAGTGACATTTGGTGGGGGGTGTGAATGTACAGTGCTCTCTTCCCCCCTCAGTACCACGACTGAGGTGAGACCCTTGAGCGAGGCACCAAACCCCCAACTGCTCCCCAGGCGCCGCAGCAAAATGGCTGCCCACTGCTCACTGCTGTGTGTGTGCACTTGGATGGGTTAAATGCAGAGCACAAATTCAGAGCATGGGACAACAAACATGGCCAAACGTCACTTCGCTATTTATCCAAAGCAACTCACATTGCATTTAAGGCATACATTTGATCAGTTTGTGCATTCCATGGGAATCAAACCCACGACCTTGCTGTTGCTAGCCTCATGCTCTACTGTTTGAGTTACAGGAAAGCGTGTTGTAGCAAGTTGGCGCTAAACTCTGCAGGACATTGAACACGTCTGTTTTGAAGCATGCTAGACTTACCCAGAAATGAATTAAGCTTGAATTTAAAAGCACGGCACCACTGGATCACCAGCTGCAGGCCATCTCTAGGGAAGGGGCTGATGCCATCGATGTCCCGCAGCTGCTCTCGGATCCGCTCAGGCCCGTGCAACGACTGATCCGCAAGCGCCACCAGCTCCAACTCTGACACCGTCCAGGTGAGCAGCGACTTGCGCATGGGTGTGTTGGCATACAGTCGCTTGGATCGCTGAATGTAGATCTCAATGTGCTTGCGCTCAAGGGAGGTGTAGAGCTCCTCGATCTTACGGGCCGGCAGGAGCTCGCCGTGCTGCTTGCGTAGGTCGGCCACTTTCTTATCTAGCAGCTGCAGGCGCTTGGCGCTTTCCTTGTTTTCATCCTTCATTAGCTCGTAATTGTCGCGTAGTTTGATCTCAAAGACGTCATCCAGGAACACGAAGGAGAACTGGTTGATGCGGATCAGGAGGTCCGGGGGCAAGCGACAAGGTTCTGTCGATGGGGCGGCATGGCTGTGTAGGGTCTTCAGCCACTTCTGCACACTGATGGCCTTGTCGAAAGTGTCAGAGAAGTTGTACTGGTAAGGGAACTCAATGGCAAGGCTGGGTGCAGTGAAGAGCCAAGTGCGATTACAAAATGTTTGGAGGAAAGGGAATTGAGATCTGTGCTGTTGCATTACATCCAGCATCTGCATCTCTGCCCCAGAAAAGGAGAAGATGTCATTGCCATCAAAACTGAACACCAAATGAGGAGTCTTCATCAGCACGGCTCCAGGCCGTTTGGAGAGCGACAGTGCTTCTGCACTGAAGATGATGAAGTTTGTCTTGGCCACATGGGCAGTGAGTCGTGTGCTTGCCAACTCTACACAAACTAACATGCCAGAGGAAGAGTCTGCAGACTCTGTTCCATCCTTCTGTCCTAGCCTTAGAGATTCAGACAGCGCCTTCCAATAGCTTTGGCTCTCTGTGACGTGCTGATACAAAAACATGTGATCCGATGGTGTCCACTGCACTGTCAAAGCGTTTTCACTCTGCACCTGATCAGATGAAGATCGGAGGATATGAAATCAAGATGTGGCTAAAGTCAGAATGAAATGAGAACTATGATCATTTTTTTTTTCTCTATTGTAACATATATTTGAGTGAAACAGCGAACAAGAACGAAAAAGTAGGACGGAAGTTAATTTTGTCCATCGTGAATTCATTGAAACGTTGATGTTTGCTAATTGCTGCGACCTCATATGAGTGATATATTTGCAGAATACAAATCTAAAATGTACAATGACTTATATTCCAAAGCGATTTTTATAATGCAATTACGGTAAAGTGCACAAAACATGCGCAAAGCACAGACATTTCGATTCATGTCACATGAGAAAGGTACATGATTTATTTGTATAGCACATTTTCGATACATCAATACTTTTAGTTTTGTTTTGTTTCAGAATTTGTTTAGGCTTGGCCTTTATAATAAATACCACAATAATTTAGGTTTGTTTTCTACTTTTATTTAAAATTCCTGTTACATTCTAAATACAACTAAATTTAAAAGATTTTTTGTGGAGTGTGGGGAACTAAAATACATGTTTATAGTTTTTATAAAGTTTGAAAATTTTAGTTTTATTGTTGTCAATTTTTATCTGGTGTGATTTACAGATAAACTAGTGCTGTCAATCGATAAAAAAAATTAACTATTTAAATCACACATTTTTTTCCTGAAATTAATCGCCATTAATCCCACCTAACATTAAAGTTCCTTAATATACTTTTATATTGCAATATTTTCACATTCAATCTTCAAATTAATGTAGAAACAACATAAAGACATTATATTTTTTAATATTTGTTTAATGGCATCTTTTTTTTATGACTGAAGGCGAGTATCACTGATACCAATAGTACTGATGTCTCTATGAAATTGTTTATGAAAATATTTTTCCTAATATTTAACCATTGATTAATGCCATTCAGCATTACAGTATAATTGAGAGCTGTCAATTTTAACATTTATTAGACTTAAAAAAATAACAACAACTAATTTAAGTGAACTTAAAACAATCTTCACATAAACCCATTATAATAAATGTCATATTTAACTACCTGTGCCCTTCAGCAAGTAGGAAATATACAGAAATTGAATAAAGTTATCAATCAATTCTAAATTAAATATAGATGAATCCTTAAAGCTACACAAATTATTGATTTCCTCTTTTTTCTTTTGTTCTTTAATTAACAAAAGTTATTCGGTTATTTTGGCTGCTTTAAGAGCTGCTGCTGAGGATCTAACACGGATCGTATTTTCTCACAACTCTCTACCTTTTCTGACCCACTAGACTTCAGCTCTTAAAGTCTCTATGATGAGCTGACGAGTTGAATTGGGTGTGTTAGATGAGGGACAGTGCTGGTCTGCTCCAGGACAGTTTTGAAAACTGTTTTAATCCATTTAGTTGTGCTCAGTCTTCCTGCTTTTTTCAGCAAGAATGCATCTTGTGTTGAGCACTGTTGCGACTGAAAGTCCAAGATTACAGTGTTGACTCAAATTGCTGTCCCCACAACTGGATAACAAGTTATGACCCAAAATTTCACCATAACAAATCAGAATTTGAGACCAGACAGGAGTAAAATATATGCCAAGTCCAAAACTTTTTAGATTTCCAGTTTTAAATTTTAATCTTTGTTTTGGACCCTGTTACAGTTGTTAACAGTATTTGATATGAAATTATCAATCATTGCAGTCACTTACAACCACACCTACTGGTTATAGTCTGTAATAACTGATCCTATGTGAAGGAGGTCACAACAGATTTGTGTAGGAGCAATGTAGTGGTGTAGTACCTCCAGACTGCGGGCACTGATGTGGTAAGAGACAGTGAACGCAGTTAGGGTCAGGATGGGGTTTGGAGTTTGTGCGGCTGGGCAGCAGGGTTCCATACTCTCAGTGAGGGCCTTCACCACAGCAAGGGAAACACCCTGGACAGAAACATTCGAGTTCTCCCCCGATCCTTCAGCTACCACTGTGTCCACCCTCAATGTAACAGCCCCTTTAATACAATACAGAAAAACATGTACTGAAACAAGCTAATATACACAGAGTAACAAAAATCTCACACTTTTTGGATATAAGGCAGAGAAACAAGAGTTTAACTGTTATTTTAAGGGCTTCTTTTAGTTCTCACCTGCCACATTGGAGAGTGTGAATGTGTTTACATCCACAAGATTAAGTTTAAACTTAAAGAGAGGTGGTAGACAGGATGGAGGCTTTTCCGGAGGGGAATGTAAGGGGACATTCTCTGCTTTGTCCAGTTTGAGAACAGAGAACAGGCGTGACAGACACAAAGTGCAGGTCTCGGACACTTCCAGCTGCAGGCCTTTCAGACTGGACTCCATACAGGCACTCCCAGAAGGGCTGGAGTTCACTGTCCTCAACTTACTATAGCTTCCCTGTGGGCAAATTAATTAAAAAGGGAATAATGTAAAGCCAAATGGTTATTATTTCAAAATATGGCCCATCTTTCATAATAAATGACAACTTACTACATAAATAGTATACGTATTGATTTTACCTGCAGTGTGAGGGAGTCTAGGATAAGGGCTTCCCCCCATACATGTTTTCCAGGTGGGTGAGGAGCCTGCTGGATATGGGAACCCTGGCCCACACGCCACCAGAAATGATCCAGGGACAGAGATGCTTTCTCAGTCACAGCCAGACTCTTCATGTCATCCTCTTCTGAGCATAACAAGTGCTGCAGTTCTGTCAGACACACCAGATTCAGTCACACATCACAACAGAGACACTTTTAAACTGAAGTGTTCAATCAGTTCTATTTTACCAGAAGTTGACCAAAAAGGACACTTCTGCTATGCACATTATTCATTTTGAAATGAGAATTCAGTCACTGTTTTATAGGATCCTGGCAGTGTTGATCTTGATAACTAAAACTAAAACTTAACTAGTTTTTGTATAATTGAAAAGTTTAGATAAATTATAAACATTAGATAAAAACTTAAAGTTTGCCTTGGCAACTAAGTGAATAAAGTTTAAGCTGAACTACTAAAATTATTAAAAGTAAACCTGAAATAAAATAAAATAAATGATTAATTATAAAATAATTTAATTATTTTATTAACGTGTATATATTATAATAATATTTTAAAGCAATAATATTTTTAAATTAATAATAATAATAATATTAACAATATTAAATTGTGTATTTTTTATAAAATAATTTGTTAATTAAATATGTAATTAAAGAAAATTAATTATATTTCAAAATGCCACATTCAATGTGATTTTTTTTGGGCAGATCAGTGTCATAAAAGTATTTTTCGGCCTTTGAAATTGTGCTTTTCAAAATATATATCTTCATGAAAACTTCTCATAAAAAGCTAAGCTACATAATTACAATGTGAAAATACTTTCTCATTCATCTCTAAAAGGCATAGAACAAAAACTGCTGTTATTTAGAGTATCTAATCTGAATGGGTTGGTCAACTGTCTATTGTTTTTAACAGCATTCAATAGCCACACTTTGCTATTTACCACTGTTGGCTGAGATGAAGCCCATGGCAAAGGGTGGTGTATCTCCCAACTGCACTGACACATTGACATTAGACATGGAGGAGCTTATCATCACGGGAGCATCCAGCTGAGGGAAACGCCTGGGAGACAAAAGGACACTTATCTGAGCACAATAAACAAGAACACCATTACAGCCCAATCCGTGATGCTCAGAAAGCGAGCGGCAGATTAATACCTTTTTTTACGAGTTGTTTCATTGTGCGAGACCTGGTCCCATGAAAACATGTCCAGCCAATGGGAGAACTCCTGATGACGGTAGTGGATGATACAGGTGTTGATGGTGACCGTGCTAGAGATGTCAACAGATGTCACCTTAAGAGAGAGTGAAGCCAAAAACAATAATGAAAGCCAAAACAAAAATGAAGCTGCAAAACATGCCACAAAGAAAGATTTTGATTTGCATTGAAATCGCGCAAAACAACTCACCTGCAGTATTGTTCTGAGAGTGTTCAGACATATAATTCTCTGTCGGCTTTGTGACAGCAAAAGACCATCTGAAAAACACCCAGTACCCACAATAGTTAGGGTTAAGTGTGTGTTCAGATCCCTAACCCCAAGTATAAGCAAAAATAATAATGATAAAGAGTGTGTTCTTGTGTACTTTCCCCACCCTCCAGCAGAAGCTCCAGACGGCTCTGTGGGAAACTGAGTTGAGAGGTGAAACTCTTCAGAGGAAGCTGCTCATCGTCACGATCATAACCCACCTTCAGAGACTTTAAAGTCCAGTTCAAATGTCTGTGAAACAAACATAGTTTGTTAGAGCACAAAAACAACATCCAAGGTTGATCACAACGACTGTAACATCATTGCTTACCTCTTCTGACTGTGCATGGAAAGTGTGATATTAGTGTTTTCAAAATCCACATTGACCTTCTGTGGAACCAGGTTGTGAAGCCGCTCAATTGCTTCTGTTTGAATGTAAGAGTCTTCTTTGTCATCTTCAAGAAGCACAAAAATGAAAAAGCTTTAGCATTTATATTTACAGCAAGGTTAATTATTCCATAGATAGTGAATTGGTGGGTTTTTGTTAAATGTGAGCCAAAATCAAACATTTGAAGACGAACATGAATTACTCAAATATGTAAAACTAAAACTGAAATGAATAAAACTATAAGCTAGGCAACTATAAAAACCACATTTATAACTATAAAAACTGTATGTAAAATAAATAAATAAAACAAAATTACTAAAATTTTGACTGAAATTAAAATGGAAAATGTATATAAAAAAAACTCATTTCAAATATGAATAAAAACTATAATAGTATATCAATGATACTAAAATAACACTCTTGACTGGCCAGCAAACTCACCAGACCTGAACCCCATAGAGAATCTATGGGGTATTGTCAAGAGGAAAATGAGGAACAAGAGACCAAAAAATGCAGATGAGCTGAAGGCCACTGTCAAAGAAACCTGGGCTTCCATACCACCTCAGTAGTGCCACAAACTGATCACCTCCATGCCACGCCGAATTGGGGCAGTAATTAAAGCAAAAGGAGCCCCTGCCAAGTATTGAGTACATGTACAGTAAATTAACATACTTTCCAGAAGGCCAACAATTCATTAAAAATGTTTTTTTTTATTGGTCTTATGGAGTATTCTAATTTGTTGAGATAGTGAGTTGGTGGGTTTTTGTTAAATGTGAGCCAAAATCATCACAATTAAAACAAACAAAGACTTAAACTACTTCAGTCTGTGTGCATTGAATTTATTTAATACACGAGTTTCACAATTTGAGTTGAATTACTGAAATAAATGAACTTTTCCACGACATTCTAATTTATTGAGATGCACCTGTATATACACACATATGTGTGTATGTGTGTGTGTTTGCGTAACTATTATTATCATTATTATTATAGCAAAATAAAAATACACTACTGTAATATTAAACCATCAAGCTTTTATTTTGGTGTAAAACTGCTGGATGTCCTTAAAGCTTCTCTTTTGTTAACAACATCCAGTTTACATTTTTTTTATGAAATTGCAGCCTTTGCGATTTGTAATTGCACTAAGCTACATTAAGATTTTGTTGTATTATGATTAACTGCATAGCCCTAATGTAAGGAGTGTAGCTTAAACGTCAAACCTGCAGTATGACTGGTGCCGTCAGTGGGAGCAGCTCCTGGAGGTTTGGGTAACTGGCTGAGGAACAGGCCTTCGTGAAGCTCAGCCAGCAGAGTTCTGACACACAGTCCCAGACGACCCGGCCTGAGACCAGGCAGACTCACGTCACCATTTAGGGCCAGACTCAGCGATACCTCAGCCAGACATGTGTCCTGCTAATGAGAGGACAGGCACTCTGTTAGCACCTTGTAACCATTTAACCCAGACATTTATGTTTTGTACACAACATAATGAGGTAACACGTTAACACATGAATGTGTGCTGTACATACCAGTCTGCTGCTCTTCAGAACTTTACTGCTAAGTTGTCCCACAGAGAAATCCCAGGCCAACCTGACAACATAGCAGTAAGTTGTCATTTTATTAGGCATTTGGGTAAACTGTTTCTCTAAATGCCTTGGTCAGGACCAAAATGATGAATGATTGTGGTTTGATCCTTGTGCAAGAGGAAGAGGGATGCACAGCATACTGGTACCATATTGGTTATTAAAATAAAAAAAATACATTTATCAGTATCAGCAGATATTGGATATTTAATTGCGAATGTTCATTTCCCCTATTTTTACATTTAGATTACACTAGCATTCAAATGGTTGGGGTTAGTAAGATTTTTTTTTAATTTGTTTTAAAGAAATGAATACTTTTATTCAGCAAGGACGCATTTAATTGATTACAAAGTGACAAGTAAAGACATTCACAAAATAAATGCTGTTCTTTTAAACTTTCTATTTAGAAATGAATCCTGAAAAAAATTTATCATGGTTTCCATAAAAACTGAAGACTGGAATAACGGCTGCTGAAAATTCAGCTTCAACATCAGAAGAATAAATTACGGTTTAAAAAGTGAAAATTGTAATCATTTTTCAAATTATGTTTTTATTGTATTTTTGATCAAATAAATGCAGCCTTGGTTAGCATAAGAAAGTTCTTTAAAAATAAAAATCAATCAATCTTACCAATCCCAAACCTTTTGCTCACTTAAAGCTAGTTGTTAAAAAAAAATAGTAATTTAATAACACTATTAAATAAATATCCATCTCTCATACTGTACTTTATAATATTATGATGCTTAAATTGTACTTTTACCATTTAGATTGACTGATTTATTTTTTTTAAGTTTTATTTTGAATTTATTTAGACTAAATAGTATAGAATTTAGATATTGGCCATTTATTGCCATGGGCATTGACGGCCATTTGTTATTCATTTATATTGGTCACAACATGAAAATAAGTACCAGCTTAATGGTTCTAAAACTTCAGTCAGTGCATCCCATCCGGTTGCCAGTCTGAGCTTTACCCGCTATGCACAAAGCTATTAGTCACACAACACCATGCAGAAGTCTTTTTAAAGAGCAGAAGTTCTTTTTTTTCACAGGTTAATCACCTTTTACTTTGACGATCCAGCAGCAAAGTGATGGCAGAGGACGTCATGTGCCAGAGGGACTCAGGCAGGGCCAGATTCAACACCATCACATTTATAGAGTCAATGTGGAACGACAGCAGCTGCGGAACAGACACAACTCAAAACTCTAAAGGAATTGTACAACTGTATCTACAGTATTGCACTTGCAGTGAAAGTCCATGGAGAACGGCATTCCAAAGGTTTCAAAAGCACATCTTTCATACAAAATTATGTGTAAAGGAGTTAAAAGGCTGGATATAATTTTGCACAGACCAACTGATTAAATGAACATTAAGGAGTATAATTTTAAACTCTTGTAGTAGTGATGTTTTTGAAATAGCATGTACTTTCTGCCTTGCCCCATTGACTTTCATTGCAAGTTCATTACTGTAACACCCTTTTCTTTTCTTCAGAACAATATATATTGATCTTCTGTGGTCATCAACAGCATGTCAGCTATGCATTGAGCTTAACTTATACTGAACCTGGGATACTCCTAAACAACAGTCAAGTTGATTACCTGAGAGAGAAGGTGCAAGGTAGAGGGACTGAGAGGAGGTCTTTTTGAATTCTCCTCATTGCTTTTAGGAGCCCGGGGCTTAAATGGCTCCTGCAGGTCAAAGCGGACCCGGGCCTCACCCACACACAACGCCAAGAACCTCCTAACAAATACAACACGATCACTATGACCGATCATCAACAGACAATATTTACACTAACTACGTCATATAACTATACTTACGGCAGGTCCGGGTTAACCATTTTGCAAGAAATCCATACCCTGTCAATTTCCTACAAAACAGAAACAGGCTTTATAGTGCTAGAATACATATTAAACATCAAAGCATTACATCAGTTGCAGCTTTTAACTCTATAAAGCCTACTGTGTTATAATTGATATGCGGATTTCTAAGGCCTCTAAATTATCAACATGATCAAAACGCTGCCGGAAAAACCTGTTGTACACAATCTACTATATGCCTTCTGTCATCTGATTGATAGTTTGTACTTTGTAGCAAGTAAAAGGCCTTTTAGTAGGATTGTAAAAAAGTCTGCCTTCAGGTAGTGGCAAATGTGTCTTTACGCTGTGAAATCTTTACTGATTTTTATAAAGCTAACATAAGAATAACTTTTACATGTAGATGAACATTTACCAGACTGAAGCAACTTAGCTTTACTTAATTATCCATACATCAATTGTGAGCGTCAAATTTGATACATCAGGCTTTTGAGGAATGTTTATTTGTTCATCTCTCAAATCATCATTGCACTGCATTGCATTATATTTTTTGTCCCCACAATAAAAACTACAGAGCTTTTATTATACAACTAAGCATTTAAATATCATCTTACTATACAATAAACACTAGATTTTTCTGACTATTAATTAATGTCAAGCTTTACAGGGTTATGAGGATTGTAATAGGGCCGATATGTGGTGTGACACATACTGATGCAGAAAACAAACCCACCAGAGTGTGCTGAGGCTGAAACTGAACACTGATTCCTCGCACTGAGAACAGACCCACAGATCTGATCCTGAGCTCAGCATTCAGGACATTGTGGAAAAAACGGACAGCCAAACTGCAAGCAAACCATCTAATAAAACACAAAGAGGGCCGTTTTAATAGGTTTAATATTGCGTATGCAATATCTGTACATTCACATATTAATTCCAGCATGCTGGCTTCTTACCTACCTAAAGAGCAAAATGAATACAACTGCAAAGATGAGAAATGCTGAGATGGCAATCAGCAGGGCAGACATTGTGCTGCAAATGTTCCTTCACATTTAGCCTACAATCATGGCACCTGGAAGAAACCTGACTTCAGACCACCTGTCAAAGAATTAGGTCCAAAACATGTCAGTTATTAGATACATTAAACGGAATAGAGAAAATAAATGAGGATGCAAGTGCATTAACATTTTAAGAAGCCAAATGAGTGCATTTACACTTCTTTATTCAATGTCATCTGAAATTTTAGGTATTCAAAATGTGTTTCTTACAAACCTTACTTAACTGAATAGTGACAGAAGCAGAATATGTAGCATTTATTAGCATTTCACAAAGCCAAGTAACTTAACAGACTAAGAGCTTTGTGCTATAAATAATATAACATTGATATTGCAGATTTTTATTCCCAAAACAATCTAATCATTTGATCGTCCGTCTCAGTGTTGTGCCACTCTGGCACTGCAAACAGCTGTTGGGTGGAACTTGCAATGTTGAGCAAAGCAACATTAGCCTGTCAGCTGCCAAAACACTACCGCGCACCTCCAAGAAAGAATTATTAAACTTCCTAATCAAGGTGTTTACTGTAATTAGCAGCTTTTAAGTCGGGTTACCCACCTGAAAGGGTTTGTAATGCAGACCAGTGGATCCTCAGGTGTACAGCGCCCCTCCGTCTCATGCTAAGCTAACTGCGCTAGCAGCGGGATCATGACAGCTCTGTCAATAAACGGACATGCTAATCATGTTTATCCGCTTCCTTAAACACACAACATTATAATTACATCCGCTGTTAAGCTGACAAACCACATTTCATTCTGATTTAGGATTTAAGTAACGTTAATGGGCTTTCCTCTGTTGTTTCAAGTGTGAAGGCAGAAATACTAACTTTTTGGAAATTGATGTGA